TTAAAAATTCGTAAAAATTTTTCTTTTTAAATCTAAGATTTGAAAATGAAACACAAGATTCCTTATAAGATTATCTACCTTTATCAATAAAAAATCTCTACCGGACAGTCAAGTTAAATTTTTATGAGCGTTTGAAATTCAAATTTTTACAACATTGGATATTCACTCGATTACTCATGTAGCGATTTCTTTACTTTGTTGCAATTCAAAAACGAACAACTGTAGATACATGAAAATTTCACTGAATGTTTAAATTAGCATTTTCTATGCACCATACAATTTTGAAAATATTTTGACTCTTTTTGAGCTGTTTATGGACATTTACAGCTTTCAATTTTTTTTAGTTTTTTTTCTATAAATATCAATAAAGTTTTATCTGTTGGGCCAAAAAGTGTAAAAATTTAATACAAGGCTCCTGATATATTGTTACAATATCAGTTGAAAAATATTAAAAATACATAGGCACGATTTTTTTTTATAAGCATTTAAAGTTGGAATTTTGACAAAATTTATGAAAATCTCGAAAATTATCAATCATTGAAATTAAAAAATTATAAAATGTTCAGTTTTTATAACTAAGAGTTGAAAATTCAAAACAAAGATTCTCTTAAATAATTCATACTGTAACCAAAAAATCTAAAAAATATATAAACACACTTATTTTTTACAGACATTTTAATTTCAAATTTAGACAAAATTTCATATTTAAACCAAGAATTACGATTTTAGTTATTTTGTTGTGATTGGATAATATTATTCGTGGGTACTTGAAAGTTCCAAAGTGTACTTTTATATATCTATGATAGTATCACGGTTTTTGTTGATGTATAACGCGTTATAAGTATCTAATATTCTAATGGATATTGTGATATGATTAATTTAGAATTTATTATAGGTCAATTTTTTGTTTAATACCATATACATGTATATAATATGTCTTATACATAGACTGACATACCGTCACCGCTCAGAATCGTTTTTCTTATACAATGATATTATATCATTGAATTCAAATTTAATACCATCCATTATACAGTGACCCACTTGTAACCTACTGTACAGCAGAGCGACACCCACTTGCCCACCTTTTTTCAATTTATTTTGCATTTTAAAAACTAACCGACTTTTTTGTGTAGGTACTCAAACGTGTTACGGCCGTGGAGCGTTTAAATCGCGTCACTTGGTTTTTGTTTAAGTCAGAAAAAAAACAAACCGAAATATCTGCACCCGGATAATCGCTCTGTATAATGATGATATATAACTGTTCTCAGAATATATAAATATAATATAATATAACTTATGATGTTGCAATGGCTACATGACATAAGCGCTAAAGGTGAAAAAATGACACATCTTTTGCAGTTTTGCACCAAAATGTGTAGGACAAAAACTCCAATCTAATATTATAAACCTTTATACCTTTTATACCCAACATATGACAGAAGCGTCAAAGGTGCAAAAATGACGTATCATTTGAGCCAAAATTAATATTTTATATATAAGTAGTTATTTAAAAATCTCGATCTTATAAAAAATTTTCAATAAGTATAATATAAATTTATAAATTATAATTTTGAAATTACCTATAACTTTAATTAATCATTTGATTTTTTCGATCTTATAAAAAATTGTTAAAAACTAATGTATACATACAAATAAATATAATTCGAATAAATTGGTTGATATTTTTGAACTTATAAAAATAGTCAATGAAAAATTGTTAAAATATAATATATAGTTCTAAATTTATAAATTTAATATCCATTAAACGTGGCACTCAGGTATCTAGGATTTTTGCATTTTCATACGATACAGCTTTTTTTTCTCATCCCATTTTGCCGCTTATGTCTTCCATCGGTTGCAATAGTACATATATAAAATTATAGCTATATTATCCGACAAATTATTAGCCTATAAATAAGTATTCGCCGTATATAATATAACTATTTACATAATGATGATGTCACAATATACAGTACCTACCACCTACCTATCGATATATATATATATATATACATATATATTGTATACTTATCATTTATAGTGGATAGATGATATTTATATATATGTGTAATGTTGTATTACCTATAACTGTAATTGTAATACTAATATTCTCCTCTATTCGACTCTATGAAGTGCGATGACTTCCAATTCGCAGAATATAATATACGTATAACTACGGAGATGATGTCGTAATATAGTCACTATCATTTATAGTAGATATATAGGTATATATATATATATATGTAATGTTAAATCGGAATTTATCCATATTTGTCGGTTCGAGGGACGTCTTAAAATACCTAAATATATAATATAAAATATACAATTTGGTATGTGATGAGAAAACGGCGGAGCACACAGATGTCACTCATAATATTATTGTCATTCCCGATTTCGTTGGACGCGATTAGGGGTATACCGGTTGGTAACTGGTAGGTAGGCAGTTAACGTTATTATTGTGCTTGTATTATTGTGCGGTTGTGCTTCTGGACGATTTTCAAACATGAGACGGTTTTACGCGTTGTTAGTGTACGTACCGATCACTGCAGGTGAGTCAAGTTGCATACAGAAACTATTATACCATATAATTACATAGAGGCGTAGTCTACAGGTGGTCACTATAAGGGGGCTATATACCCCCCCCCCCCACACACAGCCATCGGCTGCGTCGTTTTAGAGCCGACAGCCGTTAAAAATGTATACATATATTATACTACCCTAGGTTCACCCAGTAACATTTTATTCCCAAAAATACACTACACACGGGAATAACGATCCTTTCCTGTAGAGTCAACCAAATTTGATAAGTTTATTTTCGACTAATATAGGGTAATATTCTAAAGCCCACACACAATAAGGTAGTTTTAAACTTTTGTACACTTATTCGAAATAAAATCATCCGGAAACTCGCTATAAGTCCTAAGATTTTTTAATGTAACATTTTTTTTTTTATATATAGACACGGTAAATCAATCCCTCCCCCCTCTAAATAAGTACCTGTCAAAAAGTATTATAACTAAAATTGCTACTTAAATATGAAGTATAATTGTCAAATTCTATAGAATTGCGAAAATTCAAAAAACTGGTGCAACGGGCCCTTTCATAATTTCACCGAGCGAACCTTTTAAGTTCGCTTCTTCTAAACGTATAATTAATATAATGCAAAAAACTATAGTTCACTTTATTATTATAACTATATTTAAAGGGAATTGGATGACCTTTATATTTTGGTAGACACCAATTTTTGATTTTGAACGTAGCAATGGAGGTATTGATTTTAGTGTCAGTGGTGTAATCACGGTGGTGCACTATGCTGCACTTGCACTCCTATGGTATTAAGTAGCTGGTGCAAAGTTATGCATTTTGCACCTTCAGAAGCTAAACTTTCATCCTAATTGTACTATTTTTGTCGATGTGTTGACTTTTTTTCTTAATATATAGCATACCTATCTGAATAATTGATAAAAAAACAACTTGTAATGATTTTTTTATCACTTACCTATTAATTAGTATAGCTCGATAGAAGTGTCACAGACAGTGGTGAAACGAACCTAAATGAATAACCTATAAGAGACCTACAATAATTGATCCACCACCCATCCACACACAAACAATTATTATAATAAACTTAAATATAATAAATTGTAGAAGTATATTTTTGATCAACTGAAAAACTTGAATCTAATTCAAAAGTAATTATTAAATTGTTAAATATCCAAACTGGTACATTTTTAACAAAAAAAAATAAAATAAAAATAATATGTCCTACTAGACCGAACACAGTCGGGGGAGGGCTGGAAATGTCCATTTACCATGAATATTACTATTTACTATAATAATAATAATTATTATTATTTAATACCTAATTGTTTTTGACTTCCATATTGAGCATAATCCACCCATAATAGCTTTTCAAAGACTACTTTCGTTTAGCCACTGCTGATACATTATCCTTGTCAATTACATATTATATTCTTATGATGTATATAGACTATATATTCTGCATTAACCAAACTAAAATTTTTTTTAAATGGTGACGTAAATATTGTATCTTTAAAATATATTTACAGACCATTGAACTATATTATAATAACTTTATCATATTATATGTTACTGGCAAAGTAAGAAATCGTTCATTATTATGCAATGCCAGGGCACTGCGTGTACCCTGCCCTACCATGTGGTAGTGCCACTATAAGTGGCTCTACCATGTTTTATAATTACCTTGGGTACATCATTATTTCACTAATGGTCGATATTAGAAATTTAAAACATAATTTAGGAAGTTTATTGTTATTTGTTACTTTATTTATTTCTATATACAGAGTGTCCACGAAAACTGTTTACAATCTTTAACTCATAAACGTTACCTAACCCATGTTACTCAGTAGGTAATCTATACATATTTTAGAAATCTGCCTGGGGAAGATTTGATGATACAATAGTCTAGTCCCGCAAACGGAATTCCAAAATATGCCTATAGTAGGCTGAGCAGTATACTGATTAGGGGGTAGTGATATTCTGTTTTTTGTCAAATTCGATTTTCCTTAGTGCTAAAAAGATGCCCAATAAGCTCCTGAACACTAAACTTTTTAAAAAATTGAAATCGGTCATTGTCTTCAGGTCGCGGATCGGAAAAAACGTTTTAATAGGCGGGAGGGGAGGGGGTGTTCGTAACTTTTGCGATATAATGCTCTGCACCGTTGTTTTCGTCATATAAATGATTTTATTATGGCAAGTTGGCGTTCAGTTAATACCCATCATCAATCACCACTGGCATGACTTCACTGGACAGGAAAGCACACACAGTAACGTGTTCAAACATGCGCGACACGTTGCCCGAGCCACGACATAGCAGGTCAGGAACGTGTTAAAACCTGCACGATACACCGCAACACAACTCGGCCGAGCGCCCGAGCATGTTATATTGCTCATTATCAAGATTATTGTGTAGCTGTCAACACGTGTACTGTGTTGATCGCTTCTGTGATATCAAAATGTCTTTCAATCTGCGATCTTCGGATACTGAATGTCCAATTTTTGGGACACCACAACCGTTATCGGTTGTAATGCTGCCTACCTACGAGGATATCATGAAACATTTTTTATTTATCACTAATGAGATGAAAAAAACATGCAAGAAGAGCCCTTCAATGAAGTTGATCCGCGGAAAAATTGTTAAAAACGTAGTTGAAATATGGGCTAAAGCTTCGATTCCTACTGTGTCCGTTCAACGTGTTGAATCGATGTTTTCGACGTTTTACGAAAAGTATAAAAATGCTAAGAAAAGTTTCGGATCTAAAGCTCATACAACTGAGAACAATAAGGATAAAAGTAAAACAGCGTTGCTTGAAATGGCGCAACAGTTATTTGATATAGCTGCATGTAAGTGCCCTGAACCGAAATTTTGCAAGTGTCCGACTTTTAAGAAGATTCCGTTTCTCGAATTAAAATTTATGGAAGATCAGCGAACCGTTCGTAAAATGGGAGTCGGAGGAGTTGATCAAAAAGAAACAAAAAATATGAGAGACAAAGAGGAGCGGAAAATTAAACGGATCGCTCGGTCAAAAAGTCTACAAACTATTAAAAATATTCAAGGTGAATCTACATCATTTTTTTCTCCTGAATCGGAATCAGGTCAAGACTCAGATAGTGAAACGGACGAATGGTGTCCCCAAAAACGCTCATTATCATTGGAATCGAGTTACTATAATTGCAAAAAACTTAAAAACGCATCTGTAGCAGCTGATCGTTTTGTAGTGTCCAGCGGCTCGGCAGCAGCAATTATATCTGGAGCTCTGCAGGATTATAAGCTGGTCACTGGCAGTGATTCCAGTTTGCTTGTTGATAAAAGTAAACTTAATAGACAGAGGTCAAAGATAAGAACTGAAAAACGAGAAGAAGCGTCAATATCACTCCAGACTAACACAGTGACAGCAATATATTTTGATGGGAAAAAGGATGAGACTAAAACCGTTGATAAAACCGGAAATAAGAGTCGCACAATCAGTAAAATTGAAGAGCACATATCTGTGTTATCCCAACCAAACGACGAATATTTAACGCATTTAACGCCGGCTGGTGGAACAGGGGAACAAATCGCAAGTGTTTTATTTGAATATTTGCAGAACCTACCTGCATTGGATTTGCGCGCTGTTGGATGTGACGGAACCAACGTCAACACAGGTTGGAAGGCAGGAGCAATCGCATTACTAGAGAAAAAATTAGGATATCCAGTGCAAAGGTTCATTTGCTTGCTTCATGGCAATGAACTTCCCCTTCGACATATGTTTCAAAATATTGATGGATCAACGACTGGGCCAACATCTTTCAGCGGCCCCATCGGAAAATCGCTTGTGCGCTGCTTAAGTCTTCAGGTAGTACAATTTAAAAAAATCGATGTGGAAATTCCAAATTTTGATTCGAAACTTTTGAGCACAGATCAAAAGTACTTAATTGATATTGCCCACGCAATCAAGTCTGGTCTTTGCCCAGACAATTTGGCATCGAGGGATCCTGGACCGCTAAACCATTCGCGCTGGGTGACAACGGGTAACAGACTAATGAGAGTTTATATTGGAACAATGAATCCATCTGTTGAGTTAGTTACCTTAGTAGAGTTTGTCATGAAAGTATATGTACCGATGTGGTTTACCATTAGAAAAGAGCCCTCGTGTACTAATGGAAGCAGACACATGATGAAGCAAATAACACTCTCGTCGTACTTACCAACAAAATACAAGGTCATCGTTCAACAAGTAATACAGCAAAATGCTTACTTTCTGCATCCAGAAAATGTTTTAATTTGTATGGTAACTGATAACGATCCTGAGATCCGAAAACGGGGATTGGAATTAGTGTTATTAAGCAGGGAGACCGCCAAAAAAGAAGGAAAAATTCGTCCATTCCGTGTTCCAAAAATAAATTTTGAAGCGACGCACTACTCGGACCTCATAAGTTGGGATGAAATCGATTTAACTACTCCACCTGCGATGAACAACTTTTCTACATCAGAACTTGCGGATTATTTCAATCAGAATGAAGTGCCTCAATTGCCAATTTTAGACTATCCATGCCATACACAAAGCGTTGAGCGTATTGTTCAAGAAGTTAGCAAAGCTTCTAAGATGGTTTGCGGATTTGAAGCACGCGATGGCCTAATTCTGAGTAAAATAAGTCATAGGAAGCTCATGCCCAGTCTTCGCACTAAGGCAGATTACAAGATTTCTACGGAAGAAAAATCCATTGTGTAAAGTGCAAGTATATTAATTTGTTAATTGTTTTATGCCTATTGCGCTTTGTTGGTAGGGAGGAAGGGGAGGGTGGGTGGGACTCGATGTGCAGCCACCTCCCCGTGGTGAGTCCTGGGTAGTTCAGAAAATAACTAGCCAAGAGCTGCACCTTTCGTTTCGAATTCTAACTGACTAAAACGTAATGGTTCGAAAATTCACGAACACCCCCTCTCCTCCCGCCTATTAAAACGTTTTTTCAGATCCGCGACCTGAAGACAATGACCGATTTAAATTTTTTTTAAAGTTTGGTATTCAGGAGCTTATTGGGCATCTTTTTAGCACTAAGGAAAATCGAATTTGACAAAAAACAGAATATCACTACCCCCTAATACTGATATCCGTAACCATTAAACAATGGAAGTATTCTGTTTAGTTAGGGTACTCCTATATGGCCGGTATTACGCACGATGTGTATAATTATTTAGTCTCAATTTCAACTCCCCCATATGTGTGTGTGTGTGTGTGTGTGTGTATGCAAATAATGTCAACACAAATTGTATGTTATTAATATGATATAATAAGACGTTTTCAAATAGTACACAATAAATAAAATTATAGCCAATAGGCAAAAACAATATAATAATATTTTATAACAATCTATTTGAGCCGCTAAGAATTATATAGTGTGGCCAAATAGTTGATAATAACTAGCTTTTGAGCTATAATATAATAATAAATATATAAAATAAAACTCACAATTTGACGGAGCGCTACCAGCTGCTACCTAACCTTTTATAATAGCAATATAGTAAAATAAATAACACACACAATATAACTATAATTATAAACAAATGATAAATGGCGATTCGCGCCTGTGCATTAACTATATAACATAGATTGGTGATTCGCACCCTTTACCAATAACAAAAATATGGCGCTTCGCTTGTATTATATCACATGTTCATTTTATCAATTCCAATACTTGATAAAATTTTCAAAATATTTTGACTTGTTTTGAGCTGTCACGGTGATGGCTATTAATTGGACGAGTGGTTACTGCCCCAGCCGATGCACGCCGCGTATCGTCGACGTCAAAGCTGATGAACGAGTACCGTTCCATGCGATCCTGGTACCGCCGACTCTGTTGAGTGAAGCGTATTGAACAAAATATATTGAAAATATAACAATACTAGTTCGTAAAGTAACCAAAATCGGCACATATCGATAAAAAGTAAATAAAATATATCAAAACGGTTCTGATTTATTATATTATTTTCAATATAACTTATACGGTCAAATCGGTCAGTAAAATTGTCAATATCGAATATTGATCGTCTACGGAGTACCTACGTCTACAGTAGTACAGTGTGCTAAAATATATATAGCTCACAACATGTTTTTTCTCTCTCGTTATGTTCACATTGTTATGTGCAGCCCTTTCAGGAATCCGAAAGATGATACTTTGAAACAAAAAAAAACTGTAGCCAATATTTAGAATAGTAATCGAATTGCAGTATTATTATAACAATAAATATGAACAATATCATTGCGGTAATGAAAATGATTCGTAGTAGCGGTGTATAATCTACTCGTATAATATAATATATTATGTAAATGCGTAAAGACTAATTCCAGTTCACAATATGTTATGTTTTCTCTCAGTTATGTCGTCTGGATTAACATGTTGACGGACATGACTGCTAATGCAGTTATGCAAATTACTGTGATTTGGTAGTCACTCTGATTACTAAATTACTGGCATAATCCATAGAATTTATATATTTTTTAGAATATTTGATTTTTTTTTTTTACCCATTGTAAGTCACAATAGGACACTATAGATAATGTCCAATGTGGTGAAGCCACAATGGAAACACAACTGCAATAGCGGCCATGTCATTTTACGACTTTTAATATAAAACTGCTATACGAGTTGTGGGGCCATGTTACAACTTAAATCAGTATGACTGCTATAGCAGTTAACGTGTTAAGCTCTGTCCATTAGTTTATTATAGGTCTATGGATGTGATGTGTGAGGCCCGTGGTTGAGCAACAGTTGATACAGGTAACCTATCCAAGTACCTATTAAGATTTAAGGCTGTTTAAAATAAAAAGATGGCAAATTCTGGTACCACTACCGTGTTACTTAATTCTATATAGCTGTACATAACTCGGCTGTACGTGATAGTGATGTAAAATTTCCTAAAACAAAACTTAAAAATCAGTTTTTATTTTGTAATAGAAATTACTTTTTTACTTAAGGCATGTACAAATTAGAAATATTCATTGCAGTTTGAAATATATTTCACTATTTCATAATATTACAAATTATGTTCTGTACAAATTATATTAATTTTTTAAGTAATTGGTTATTTTACTTAATTAATAAGTATTAGGTACAGATTACAGAGGTAATGATAATATTTAATATTTGTGCTGTAGTATTATACTGCCCTCCTAGACTCTAGTGGAACAAACAGTATGTCCAATAATTGAATTGTTGGTAAAATGAGTTTTTCACCAGTAAATCATTATTTTACACACTTTTTTTTCATTTCTTTTTAGTCGTAGGAATCCTTAATTTTTTGAAAGTTTTTGTTCTGTTTTTTTTTTTCAATTTTAAGGAGATATGGATAACACATAATGTTTTTAGTTAGTACCACGGTGTCTGATCAATCTCGATAAATGCTGTTGACCAAAACTTTTGGCACAATATGACGTATCTGATTAGTGATTAGTAGTGATTAGTACCTCGAATCGCGACCATTCATTGATAAAAGTTAAAGTGTACATACAGTAAATCCATTTTAGATAAGATTATTAGGTAAATATGCAGTATATACATTGATAAATTATTTTACTAATGAAATCAGCCGTATCTCCATTGAACTTATAACTTTGTTCTCTAGAATATTATGCTACATACATGTACCTACACAGAGTATATACTGTATTTTTCCCTAGTATTTGATAATATTTTGGTTGATACGACATTTTAAAGGAATTTCTAGTGATGTTACGGTGTTTTGTTCTTAAGGAAAAAAAATGTGGAACTATGCAACTATACCTACTATGAAATGCTTAAATTAATTATTTAGTTATTACTTATCTCAATATGATTAGTAAGAGAAGGCTGCTATTTAGCTTTTAAATACTTACTTTTTATGAATATTAAGTAGATAGTAATAATGTCATTAATTTTATAAATTCAGTAGATACCTTTATTATGCTACAATTTTATATATTATGATAGTATGGTACTTTAATAACACATATCTGGTGAACATTTCAAGTATTGAAGTAGGTATTTTTAACTACACAACAATATATAGTCAATAAAAGAAATTTGTTTGAAGATAATTTGACATAAAAAGCTCATAGAAAAATTAATTTGACTTTATATGACTTGATATGGCTTTAATAAATTTACAAACGAATATGTTTATTTCGGATGTATTATTTTCATGCTAGCTTGATAAATTATGATTAATCATCGTGTGCATCAACGCCACTGCCCATAAAATCTTTAAAGTCCAATGCCATTTTGTACGGATAACACCTAAAACAAGTAAGAACAATAAACCACAATGTGTATTTTAGTACACAGCTGTCGTTGGACATTGTATAAAATAATTTTAATTCACCTGAATACGTTATTGAATGTGAGCAATGATCTCGGAATGGAATGTTCAAATAAGTTCTTTCTAACGGCGGTTATTATTTCTTTTGCCGTCGACTCGGCCGTTACGAGTGGTAACAAGCTGGGAAAACTATTTAAAAATGTTTTATCAGTAAACGTCTACAAACTCCATACAGTTGCAGTTATATAATGTGATGTGTTGCATCACCCGGACTTACCGAATTACAGGTTTCTTGCACAGACCGGTGTCTACCATATGCGGGAAAATAGAGGTGAAATGAATATTTGTGAAGCCATCGTCTCTGCACTCGTCCATCATCCCTTCTGCTAGACCTTAAACCAAAACAATGTTTAGGAGATGACCAGCCCAGTGCTCGAATTGAGAGCGCCGGGAAACAGGGGGGGCGGTTGAGCTCCTCTTCTATTGTATTATATTTTAGAAGTACCCCTTATAATATTATTTTCATTTCACGGGACGATTTATTTGTTAAAACAATATTGTAATTTTGTTATTATTGTTGTGTAAAGTTGTACAATGTATAATATAATCAATAAGATATTAAAATTTAATTTAATGATTTTTCTTATGCTAATTGATAACGGGGTCAAAAGCACTAACTATGATATAAGTACAATATCTTAGTCCGTGGTCAAAGATTTTTATCTATTTATCATTATTACAATACGAGTATTATTATTTACATTATTATTTATAAATAATTACCTAATTAGTTAGAAATGTTAGAATATACTTTTAACTTTTAAGTAAAGATTAGTTTTTAGTTTTTATGTTAATAAATGGCAAGTAAAGTAATATTTATTGTAATTGAAGATAGAAAGTTGGGGGGGAAAGCCCCCCGACACAAGCTAGATTGAGTTTAATCACAAGGAACGCTAATTTTTTTCAAGTCTAGGAGTCCCCTTTCTTTTATTTTTCCAATTCGAGCACTGATGACCACATATTATTATTAACTGTTTGTTGCAAGCTAACAACCACTAACCTCTCACTGCGAATTTGGACGCACAGTAAGGCACTAAGTTCTTCAAGCCAATTATACCAGCCATTGACGACAAGAAGACTAAATGTCCTTTGTTCATCGCTTTCATTCCGGGCAAAAACGTATCGAGCATCTACATGTAAAACAAAATTGAATAACTCATTTTAGAAATAAAAAAAATTTATATTATATTTATCAAAATGACCCATTGAAAAAAAATTTAAGTATCATCAACAAATCTGTTTTATGCGTAGGTATAATGTGCATTAGTATTTTGTAATTAAAAAACGAATAACGAATACATTTTTGATATTTTCACTAAATATATCTTATATTAGTATTTTTTAAACATGATAAAATGTTCAAAATAATTGGCTGGTTTT